GCTGTTTGAAAGGTTTTCTTCCATAAAATTAATCGATTCTAGACTAATCCGACTCAACATTTCCAAAATACGTATATTTTTTGGAAATAATCCGTATAAACTATGCTATAAACAAAAAATTGTTGGATTACTTACCGAGTGTGTATCATTCGACATCGCCGTTGCTCAAGCTTGTTTTCGTCGCGGAACAGCGCAGCAAACCGCTGCCGCGATTTCTGATGTTATTTTTCTGCGAAAACTTCGTTGAACTTCGGAGACATCATTAATATAAATAATTTTAATCGCCGTTGAATAAGAAATGTTTCTTTCATAAGAAATGTATAAAATTACAGTACTGTATTAGAGTTACGGTACCTAATTTATATACTGTACAGACGATAGTTTGCCTAAACTCTCCGTAGCGTAGCGCTAGACGGCGGAAAGTAGTTTGGCTGCCCGATGACGTTTTACGTAATTATAGGAGTTTTTTTTTTACCGTTGTTTACGGATACCGCCACAATTTTTTCGCCATCTTATAGGAATCGTAATTATAGGAACCCGTCTTATAGGGGGATGTACTGTATATTATTATTAATGTTTGTATATATAATAGTATATTATGCAATTTATAATATAGACGATTACGGTATGCGGAGAGAGCGGGCCAATTTCCACCAATGCCGTAATCGCTAATTATAAAAGGATTGTCGTACGGTATTTTGTGGTTAGGTTACACTTATAACGCTATACTTACATTAATCAAAATCGTGTATAAACGCGGTGTTTGTGTCAACCGTGCCATAAACACCACGTTTATACACGATTTTGAGTTCCATAAGTATAGCTTTATAGATGTAGTCAACCACGAAATTATTAATATTAAACAGAATTTATCATTGCGGTACGATATATATGAATAATGATTAATAATTTGTAAGGAACAGCTACGTAATGATCATTTGTTACTAATGTAAAAAATTCGTTGTAAAAAGAAGCATCTTAACGAAAGGTTAACGTCGCTCACCAAAATGGTCTAACTTAGGTATTTGTAAGCGAACAATAGGAATTATTGGTATATACCGTATCTTAATAAATACACTCTTACTTACGTAAATTAGAGCGGAGGACAATCGGTTCAAAAT